TTCTCAAGGGATCAGGTTTAACACCGTCTATTGCTCTCCATTGGATCGGGCTAGATCCCTGGCTCTTTGTGTTTGTCAGGTAAATCCTTTTTTTTATTCATTCTTCTTAAAAGAATAAAGGAAATTGAAATATGAATGGGCTAGATAATTGTCAATTAGAAGAAAATTTTCTAGATTTAATTGTTAGTTTCTTTAATATCCATTGAGCAGATTGAGAAATTGCTCCTGCTACAACTTTGGGTCATCTATCAAGTGCATGCATGTTAAGCTCAAGAAAAATTGGTAATTTGGTTCCATGTTGGTTTACACTGACCTGTAACATTTACTTGGAGTTTGCTGAGAGTTTCTAAAGGTGCATGATTAGCTGAAATACATAGTTTGACATTACTATTTAGCATCACCAAAGCTTATTTTTCATCTGGAGTATGTTGATGGGAAAATTTTGAGTTATTTCGGTAATTGACGGTTCATCTTTTTAATTTGAGCGGAGAGTCGTAGCCGGTGCAAAGAAGGTCGTAGTCGATAATTCTCTGTAAGAGAAAAAAGAAGAAAAGTAGCCTGTAGGAGAAGATGAGCAATCTATATAAGAGAGAGAGAGCTAGATCAGGGGCAGAGAAAGAGTAGAGAGATGGATCAGGGGAAGAAAGAGTGAGAGGGAGTCCTTTTTCAGTCTTTTTTCAGGTATAAATATCCTCAACTGTAGGGCGATTAGTGACAGGTCTAGGATCATATCTGTTAATAGACTGACAGATTGTGTAAATACGATTGATAATTATCAAATTTGACTCTATTAAAGGTCATGTTAAAAACCGAGGAACATGGACTCTGGAAATGGTGGTGTCTCCAGGTAATTGGCGGGGATCTGTTGGTTTCTAGAGAGTCTTGTCCGAAGGTATAACATAGCGGAAGACCCTAAATTATGGAAGTAAATAAGATAGGACTATTTGATGTATGCAAAGTTAATAATGATCCGAGTTAATGACTGCAAATGCACATATGTTGCTCACGCATGCCATAAAGTTATGCATGATGATATGCATTTTACCATTTACATTTTACACAACTACTTTTCCTATTGTTTAAAATTCTGCAGGAGATGAACTTTGCAGAGGCACAGATACAATCCTCTGATGCACTTATGGATCTGAATATGGGGCATTATGAGGGGTGCCTTCGATCGCAAATATATACACCCGACGTTTTGAGCCTAATGGAAAGATACCAGCCTGATTTAGCTGCCCCTTCCGGAGAATCTCTCAGACAACTGGAATTTCGAATGGTTCAATTCTTGAATGGGAAAGTCCTCTGCTTCCTGAAAAGTTGAGGTCTGATTGTTTCTTACACCAAAAAGAGAGTTGAGGATTTACAAACCACAACGCTCGTGCCATAAACAACTTGGTTCATGCGCTACCAAAGAAGAAGTCCAGTAAGAGCAGGCTAAAAACCATGTCGAATATCATCGAACATGATGCCGATGATGAAATGTCTCCTAAAGTAGCCAATAACCACCCCAGCCTTCATGACATAAACGTCAGGAATTCGTCTTTTCCCTCCACCAACACCTCCTCGGCCTCCTCTTGTGTCGGCGTCTTTACTCATTCCCTGCCGATTAAATGCCTCATCACCGGCCTCCTCGAGTGCAGCCCCCTAATGTCACATAAGATGTGCATAGAAAACTCGTCTGTGACCGTGCTGAAGCATTCGTGGAACACCGGGTGGCAGATAAAACAGTTGAATGGTACTCTCACATCTTCGGCTTCTTTAGTTGAAGTTTGGGACTTGATCTATCCTACAGAAGAATTTCGGTTGGTAAATTGAGTTTGATAATTGATGGCTACAATACCGCAATACCAAAATCTACGCTATATGTGTGTGTGTGTAGCATTCAAATTTTGATGTATTATTTAATTCAAAATTCATGGCATCCATATCCAAATAAAAAGGGTTGTTTTTTCGTTCTTTTCTTTATCGAATCGTGATCTACGATGATAACAAACAACGTCGGAGTATTAGAGATTTCGTTGTTCGGAAGTGTCATAATGACCTAAAATGGTAAGAAAAGGTCACCGGAGCATTTGTTCAAAGTTTAGGTCTGTTGGTGATCTAATGATTTTTCTTGAAAGGATTGATTGCAGTATCTTAACAAATTGGTGCCCAAAAACAATCCTTTCTGCTTACTTGACCCAAGAAAATGCTTGGTTAAACTAATAAAATAGTGCCATCCAACAATATATTGAATTTACTCAATTTTTTTAAATTATTTTCTTAATATGATTCTTATTTTCAAGAGTTTAAAACAATTTTTGAATGTTTCACATAATAAAAGTGTCTTGTCAACCATTGGCGATTTATCTACTCTAATTTGACGGAGAATCGCAACTAACGATGATGTGATCGTTGACTTACGGTATTATGTAATAGAGATGAAAGTACAATGTGGAAATGTAGAGTAAAGAAGGAAGTCCTTTCTTTTTTCAGTGTATGTGAGGGGTATATATAATGACTTTAATTAATGATGTTAGGCATAGAATTATTATAACTACTCGTAGATCGGTAGGCTAAATAAATTTAGTAGTCAAATTTTTAGAATTCATCTAGATAGATTGTGCGAGTTTATAAAAAATCTTCTCTACGTACAATAATTGACTCGAATAATATAAATTTTTTAAAGACTCCGATAAACGAAAGAGGTTCATCTTCGAAGATATTTAATCAACAGAGAACTGACTACATTAAACATTTATCTAAAAAATATAACAAATGTGCATGTCAAATGATGTAAAAGAATAAGAGATGGATGAATAAAAATTGGGATGCCAACCCCACCAACCAAATCCCCGTCATGGTAGACAGGCCATCCGTAGGTCCCTTGACCAGTGGCCAACCTCAACCCATATAGGATGGGCATATGATAACAAAACTGGTTCGGGTTTAAAGTGAAAAATATTCGATTCGAAAAAAATATATAATTTTATCTTATATATTTAGAAATGATTACAATAATACCCCTCTATATATAAATTTTTTCAATTAAGTCACTGTTTTTATTGAATAAAAATAATATTTTTATTATTATTTCGGGTCAGGTCGAGTCGGATCGAATTTTTAAGTTATATGTCGAGTCGAGTTTGGGTCGGATGAAATTTTGTTTTGATCGGATCGGGTCTCGGGTGGAGGATCCTTTGTTCTCGGATCGAGTCGAGTGTACCAAAAAACTCGACCCGACCCCCTAAACCCATATCGACTAAAAACCAAATCTTCTTCGGTCCAAGAAACATACATTTTTTACAATATCCTACTCATTTTCTCTATTATTTCCAGCTTGTGCCTACTCCAATCAAACATAACCCTTTTCATTTCATTTTCAGCTCTGCCAACTCCAATCAAACATAGCCACCTGCTCTTTCATGTAATTTTCACTCCAAGTCCTTATATATTAGAAAAGTTTAATCATACCATTAACAATTTTCTTCAGTTTCCTCTGCAAAATTTAATTTCTCATAATTCTTCCAGATTTTTTCACATGGTTTGTTTCCCCACAATAAAAAACATTCTTCATTCATATACGTTGGATATGTTTAGTTTTTGTTTCTCATGTTATTATATATATATGGTCTGATCATTTCTTATTTATGTGATTTAGGGTGCAGAAACTAGTGAAGGTTGTGTTCTAATGGAGAAGTCCAATGGCAAACTGTCTCAGCTAAATGTGAAGCAAGGCGAGCCGACCCTGGTTTCTCCTGCTGGAGACACGGAAAAGGGTCTGTACCTTCTGTCCAATCTCGACCAGAACATTGCGGTGATTGTCAGGACCATATATTGCTTTAAGTCGGAAGAGAAAGGGAATGAAAATTCAGCTCAAGGGGGCTGTCTTTGTTGAAGCTGAAGCAAATTGTAAGATGGAGGAGATTGGTGACATAACAAAGCCTGATCCCCGAGACTCTTAGGAAGCTGGTTTATGGCATTCCTGGTGCTGAAAGCGTACTAGAGATTCCAATACTAGTGGCTCAGGTAACCAAGTTTCAATGCGGTGCTGGCATTGGTGCTATGGAGTTTGTCAATTCATGGGGCGAAACAGCCCGAGGTTTGCCGCTAACCATTCCTCCATTCTCCGACAGAGCCATTCTGAAAGCTCGAAGGCCGCCGAAGATTGAGTACTTGCATCGGGAATTCACAGAAATAGAGGACAAGTCCTGCACCGATGAGCTTTACAAAGATGAAATGCTCTATAGATCGTTCTGTTTCGAGCCCGAGACGCTTGAGAAACTAAAGAAGGACGCCATGGAGAACGCGGTTCTTGAAAAATGTACTACATTCGAAGCACTTTCGGCTTTTGTGTGGAGGGCTCGCACCAAGGCACTTAACATGCTACCCGACCAACAAACGAAGCTTCTCTTCGCGGTCGACGGCAGGCCTAAATTCGATCCGCCTCTACCAAAAGGGTACTTCGGCAACGGCATCGTGTTGACAAATTCCATATGCGGAGCAGGTGAGTTATTGGAGAAGCCACTGTCACATGCTGTGGGGCTGGTTCAGGACGCAATCAAGATGGTTACATGAGATCGTCTGTCGATTACTTCGAGGTCACGAGAGCTAGGCCTTCTTTGTCATCCACCCTGCTCATCACAACTTGGTCTAGGCTATCTTTCCACACCACGGATTTCGGATGGGGAGAGCCGGTTCTATCGGGGCCGGTTGCCTTGCCGGAAAAGGAAGTAATCTTGTTACTATCTCATGGAAAAGAGAGGAAGAGCATAAATTAAGTTCGACTAATTATGATACTAATTATGAAAATTAAATAAATTAAAAGATGTATAGACAAACGAAATCGGATTACATTAATGAAATGGAATTCAAAACTGAGCCACATGCCTAATTAGAATTAAATACAGCATCTTCACAGATTATAGAAAAACAAATTAAGCAGACTATTTCTATACAGAACAAATACAGCATTTTTACTATGATGACACATTTCAATTCAAACCATCCAAGGCAAGCAGCTTGCTTTGCCCTCTGAATTAAAAACACAGGAAAGAAAACTAACCAATTCTTGATACTAAAAGTCAAGGCTAAAAATAATTTTGTTTCTTTTCATTAATTTGAATTGTTGGGATTAATTAATTAATTTTTTCGACCATCAAACAGTTCATCAATGTAAGTCTCTATATCATCAGGCTGGTACTTGATGTACTTCTCCGTTTGTCTTCCAGGATCCAAGTAGCCAGCGTATCTTCCCAGGAATGACCTGTATGCCGGTATCACCACCGATGCTATCGACACCCTCAGCTCCGATTGCAGCTGCTTGTCAGACACCACCCACGTGCTCTGAGTCCGATATATTTCGTCGAACATGGCATTGAAGTTCTTGAATTTCTCTTTCAGCACCGGTTTCACCACCTTTCCTTTCACGGTCAGTCCCTGGTTGCTTATACAACCCAGAAGCTTGAGCCACGTCTCTCTTTGGTAGACCTTGTGGTAGTTTCGAACATCGAAGGATCGACTACGGCACCAATTGTCACCCACCACTTCATAGAGCTCGGGCGTTCCTTTGATCTTCTGCAACATGTAGCTTCCGTTGTTCATCATGAAAATGCAGCTCAATGGAACGTCCTTGTAGAGCATCGACTTTGAGTCGATGGACTGCTCCAACAAATCAATTATTCTCATCAACTGTGCTTGAAACGGTGGCCGGTCTTCTCCCGCATCGTTTTTCTTGTACTTTTCCGATCTGCTTACATTATTCCGAGGCCTGCTCGTCGAATCGGCTCTTTCGATCTTGGAATGGTCTTTGAAAACTTGCTCTATCGTGTCTTTGTACTCACATGCGTACTTGAGATAATTCATGATGTAGCGTGTCAATGGGTGAACCGCCCCACCTGGAACCGGTATTTTCCCTGTATCGGATTTGATTGCATTCTCGAGATCACAGAAAATGGAGATCGTAGCCTCGCCGATTCTACAACGACACGCCTTGATTTCTTTCCTGAGATCGCGGGCACATTCCTTGGGAAACACGCTATCGATGGGAGAAAGATTATCACGCAAGGCCTCATACATGTCGAGAAACTTGAATAGCTTCTCAGGGGTAAGCTTGCAAAATGCAACCGCTTCAGGGAAATCGAGGAATTGAAGGAACAGGCAACGTGCGAGGTTGGTGATGATGCTATCCGATAACGACGAATAACCGGAGAAGATTGTTTGAACCAGCTTACGCTCGGCGGGCAAGTGCACATTGGCACATTGTTTGAAGGTCTGAATCCATGAAGGGATGTCCCTTTCCAATGATTCCCATGGCGTCTTTTGAGCCTCTTCTATACTAATCTTCTCGTACCCAATATTCTTCAATGTCTCCCCAAGCACATGCCTCCTTGTGATCATGTAAATCTCGCAGCATTCCAATTCATGTCCTCCTGCGATCAACTCGTCTGCAATTTTAGTAATATTGACCAAAACGTTCCCGGAATACTCCTCGAACTTCGGATCCTCGGCAGCAGGAGGCTCGTTGTCTTCACAGGGTTCAGTGGATTGATCTGCATCCTCTTTTGCGGCAGCATCTGCATCCTGTTTTGCAGCAGCATCTGCAACCTCTTGTACAGCCTCTTGTATTTGATCGGTTTCCTCGTTGCGTGACTCTTCGAGGATGTACCTGAATTCCTCTTCGAGATAACACATTGTTTGGTGTTGAATTGCGCTGATGCGGTTGATTAAGGTACCTTGTTTCGACTCAGGTTTGATGTGTGCGGATAGATCTTTATACAGCTTCGTCATTTGTCCAACAGCTTTGAAAAACGATGGATCAGCATCAGGAAGTTGATATCCCTTCAGGCTTGTGTCGGAAGAGGCAGATGATTCAAAGCTGGATAGTTTCTCTTCAACGAGATCCAAATATTTTTCGACGAACTCCGGAATCTTTAATTCTTCGGCTTCAACCTCTGCTTCCTTTTCCTTCTCTACCTCCTTCTCATCCACCTCCTCCTCCTTTTTCGCTTCCACTTCGGTCTCCTCCTCTACCTCCTCCTTCTCATTGATCTCATCCTCAGCCTTCTTCTCGTCTACGTCTGTCTCCTTTTTCTCCTCCTCCTCCTCCTCCTTGACCTCGGCCTCAGCCTCAGCCTCGACCTCGACCTCGACCTCGACCTTATTCTTTTTCTCCTCCTCATCCTTTAGGATGGAAGAGAAATTTGTCAAGAAATGTTCAATATCTTCACAGGCTGTTTCCAGGGTATATGGTGGAGGAGGAGGTTCTTCTGTTTCCCCTCCATTCTCCATCTCTTCAGCCTTGTCTTCGGTTTCCGTTTCCTCACGTTTCTCCGTCTGATCATCTATGGTTATCTTTTCTTCACCCTCTTCATTAGAACTCTTCGCTGACTCCGACACCGGCACTGCATTGTCGGGATCGGTGTTCTTCTCATCGTTTTCAGCCTGGTTATTGGCTAAGGTGTCTGTCGAGGAGAAAAAAAACATCGAATAGAAAATAGAAAGACACAATGGAGGGAACTATGGTTGCATTGTCTATTATTCCTGAGAGAGAGAAATAAGAAGATTTGGTTGGTTTTGATTTGGATGATATGAAATTGAAATGGTCGTGGTGGTGGGGAAGATGTAGGGACAGGAAATAGTTGTGGAGGGAAAAGGGAAAGAGCGGTTTCATCTATTTTAGGAGGGTTGACCAAAAGAATGCCTCATTTAACCTGCTGTTTTGGCATCGTTTTCCTTAACCTGCATGCATGCATGCATGAAGAAGGAATGTTATACATTGCTAATAAACTACGTATAATTTTTATTAATATTCGGTATTGATATCATACAATAAGATATAGATATCTAAATAATAAATACACAATTTAATCTCTTTAAGCCACAGTAACTAAAACTTTTACATGACAACGCATAATTAATTTAGCATAAAGACCATCTACGTATGTCAAACATGAACAAACTTCATTAAATACATAAAATAATTTAAATTTACATGATTGTTTTTGTGTGGTATATGTGTTCTCGAGCATTAGGCCCATCTCTGATGTAACTTTTCTCTTTCTTCCTGAAAGAATTTGTCTTGATTAAAAAATAATAATACACAGTGCTCAGCTCAATAGCATAGGGACCTATACTTTTACCGACTCACAGAGTCACAGCTCGGTGGTGGTTCTAAGATAGCTGATAACTTGTTATGTCTGCTGCCAATTACAAAACCTCTATCAAGTTTCCAAAAAATCACTGGCATTATGCACAGTAACAATAAACAGAGTTAATGCGGGATATGGCTGTACCTATGCTGCTTTTGAGTTCAGACCCAGCTTAGTTGCTAATTTGCATTAAGATTCACACAAGGAAAATCATCTTTGTAATAATACTTCTTGTGAATTACTATAAAACACAGATAACCAAACTTCAGAGAAAGAGAAAAAAGATATAGTTCCATTGGAATGCAAATATGCAATCTGAGTTTTAGTCCGAGTCAGAGTGAAATAAATCGCTGTACCGAGCATTGTTGGGGAAATGCAATACTATTTTCACGTTCGGTAAGTTTCCTCTTCCTTTTTAAACTACTTAAAGAAAACAGGTAGGCAGTATGTATAGTTACAGAAGTAGACCAGTACAATAATCAAAGCCCTCAAAACCACATGGATTTTTTTTATTACATTACCGTGCCATCAAAGATGTTTTTGTCCCGATATAAAACAATAAATCAGGTGAAGTAGGTGAGTTCCCTGTCTCTCTTTAGTTTTTTCAGTGGCTGAGTTCATTCACCAAGTCTCGTTTCATGGTTAGATATGTTCAAGAATCAATTGCAAGAACTGGCACAAAGAAGCTGTTTTAACCTCCCTTCTTATACCTGCATCAGAGAAGGACCTGATCATGCACCCAGGTTTAAAGCTTCAGTGAACTTCAATGGCGAGATCTTCGAGAGCCCGAACTTCTGCCCTACATTGAGACAAGCTGAGCACTCTGCTGCCGAGGCAGCTCTCAATGTCCTGTCCGTAAGAGGCCTTTCAAGGTCTCTCACTGCAAGAGTTCTCGTAAGACCTTTTACTTGACCTTTCTGTTCACTGGTTTCCTTGATGTTTAAAGCACACTTCTTCTTTGTTGTATGAAGGATGAGACCGGAGTTTACAAGAATCTCCTTCAGGAAACTGCTCATAGAGCAGGGCTTAAACTCCCTGTATACATCACTGTAAGATCAGGACCCGGACATAGCCCGATCTTCTCTTGCATCGTGGAACTTGCTGGCATGAACTTCACCGGTGAGCCGGCGAAAACCAAGAAACAGGCTGAGAAGAATGCTGCGATTGCAGCCTGGTCTGCCTTGAAAACAAGTAAGTTTAGCTTTCTGGTATTTTGATATACTAGTATTCGTATGCATGAATCTATTGTACATATGTGTGCAGTGCCAAACTTGGATTCATGGACGAAAGAAGACAGCAAACAGTTTAGGAGGAGGGATCATAATAACCGAGCAAAAAGAAGAATGGTCAATGGCAACAACAATGATATAATCAGCCTTCCATCTTCTTCCACCTCTGCAGGTAAATCTCTAAATCATAAAAAATGGAGGGTTATGGATGTCTTGATGGATAGTTCAGCACAAAAACGGAACGGCTTTCTATCTCTACTTCCTCCACCCCCACCCAGAACAGCTTCAAAGATCTTGCCACCAACTTCATCCAACTATTCATGTAATCGAGCCGGTCCAATACAAATCAGGGGTAAACCAGAAATGAAACTGGTTCCTCCACTTGAACAGCATCTAAAAGATGAAGACCAATGGCCTGGTTCCAAACACGAACATGTCATCAATAAATCCATTGAGAAGGAAGGTTCAAGTAGTGAGCTTATCAGCAGAATTTGTGGGTCTCCATATCCGTCTCAAATGGCACCGGCAATGGCCCGGAACATGTACACAGGAGGGTTTAACCCACATAAGATTGCCCCGGCTGTTAAAATGAGATCAATAATCCCAGTTTGTGCAGCTCCACCACCAGCAAACAGAACACATGAAATAGCAGCTACCCCATCAACAAGCCCAAATACCATGCAAATAGGACCAGCAGAGGTGCCATCATCATCAGCCAGCTCAGTCATGTTCAACAAGTCAGGGCCAAACTCATACCAACTCAGTTCAGAGTTGATGAAACTACAATTAACAAAGTAAAACCCAATGAGCTTATGCTTGTAATATCAAGTTATTATGGTGCTTTTTTATTATTATTTCTTGTCCTCTTCGATGACTTTTGATTACCATGTGAGTATAATATATATATATAAAGTTGACATTTATGGAATCACGGTATGGAGAGAGAGAGCTTTAAATGGGAAGTCAGGGAGGCAGATGGGAATAGCAATGAAGGGGCACATTAGAAGAGGAACAGACAATTGCAGCGATAAGCGTAAGCAGTTATGCTCTCACAGCAAAATATTTAATACCCTTGTCTTCACCATTAATGCTCTCTCATCTGCCTTCACTCTCATTTATTATTCATCACCTTCTCCCCCTTTGTTTATTTTCCAATTCTTTTCTACTCCAAAGTAGTCATTTGGGTATGAAATCTCTGGGTCGTTCCCATTATTGTTCTTCACAAACAATCCCTTTTTCTGTAGCTCGATATCTATCCCTAGCTTCTAAGACCATGAACAACAATTTTACATTTTATATGTGAGTGAAATAACTCAAACAGTGGGGATTTTTAAAATGTCCAAACAAAATTTCACAAGAAGCATGCCATCCAAATTAATAAATTTTAGATACTATACTAGATTTTAGTAAAGGCTGTTCAATGAATTAAGCAGTTTATGAGTCGAGCATTATTTCATTCGTGATCGACTCACTTCATAAGCTTTCCTAATCTTAATACATTTACAGGAATAGAACAATGTACATTGTAGAAGGGTCGTGGTACATGTAACACTCCCAACTCATACCCGATTAAAACTCTTTGACTCATTTAAAATGCAATGAAAACTTTACAAGGAAAATAAAACTTTACAAAACATATAGCATCTATGACTTACACATTTTCGTACGTGCCAACAATCAAATCACATACTATTTAGTTTACTCTGATATGATATCCTTCAGAGCTACGTTGTACTGCTCTTGCTTATTATGTTAACGTCTTCAACCTACGTGTGAAAACAATCACAAGATGAGTCTATGACTTAGTGATGCAATATTAAATATAATAAAATAATAAAACAATTATATAAATGTTTTTCAAAATAATCATTAAATATTATAACATCATATTATTCATAACTTATAACATATACTATTACCTATTGATTAATTATATATATCTTTGATACTTGCTTATACAATTCTTTGAAACATTTCGTATAAAATCAGTAGACACTTAATTAATATTTTATATGGTTACTCATTGTTCAAATTATATCAAGTGTGTTTTATCAGCCCAACGTATATCGCTGAGAACTCCAGGTATGCGAGTACATTGAGATTGTGCACAAATGCAGTCACTTCTCATATAAATTGCACCGAAGTGCCACATAGATTTGTCCCGAATGACCGCGTAGAAATTGTCCCGAAGGACCACGTAGAATTTGTCTCGAAGGACCACGTAGAATTGTCCCGAAGGACCACGTAGAATTGTCCCGAAGGACCACATAGATTTATCCCGAATGACCGCATAGATTTGTCCCAGAGGACCACGTAGAACCATCGACTCTTGACATGCCAACTATACCCCTATTCCTCATGAAATATACTTTGGGCTTTAACCATATAATTATTTCACATTTATTATTCAAGTGTCTTTTATTCATATACACTTCAGTAACTTAATACATGTTCACATATACATTTTCACGTAGAACACATTTATATATCATATTCACGTAGATCATTTTTCACGTAGCATTGCCTGAATTTATTATTTATTCACATAGATCCTATACTTATATTGTTTCATATAACATTATTCAATATTTCCATTTAATTACATATAACATACATTTATAGTGACATTATTATTTCATGTTACATATCATTATTTAACTTATCCATTTACTTATATAGAACATATTCACATAGAATACATTCACATATATTCATAGCATTTCATTTTGCTCAAAACATTTAAGGTTGGCTTATCACAAGCCATCCTCCAATCATAAATAAAGTAAGTAAATAGCACTCACATTTGCCTCACGTAATCCTTAAATAACTCATTCTCTCTTTCACTTATCTTGATACATCCCTTCGTTCTGCATTTGCTTTCAATTAAATCTACACATAACATGACTCAAATGAATACCGGAACTCAATTAATATCTAACCCATTAAATTTTATTTGAGCAAAATGAAACACTTAATTAACATTTCCGACTGAATAGTATCGATACTCAACTCATAGTACCGATACTTCTCTTCTATAGTACCGATACCCACTTCGGTATCGATATCATTTTGGCATTCTGGAATTTCATTTTCGATTACGATATTGATATCTTCCTCTTGGTATCGATACCTCCACATCAGTATCGATATTTCTTCAATCGATATTGATACTATTCAACCCATATTTTACTTATTTCACTTCGATTTTTTCCTAAATTTTACCTAAATCTCTTAATCTTATCTCCAATTATGCCACCAAACTCAATACCATTTATCCCAACTAACTTACGTTCATTAATTCCCTTATAACATCCATCTTTCTCCAAAGAACACTTAAAACTAAAAATCACACCAATTTTTCAAACATATTCTCAATCCTTTCTAACACTTCAAATCCCTTAATTAGACCTCTGACAAGTCAAATATGCTTTTAGAACTCAATTACTAACCAAAATTCATCATTTCACTTAAAAACTCATTTTACTAATTCATTCTTAAATCACCGAAGAAGAAGAAGAGAAGAAGAAGAAGAAGAAGAAGAAGAAGAAGAAAGAAGAAGGAGAAAAGGAAAGAAGAGAAGAAGAAGAAGAGAAGAAGAGAAGGAGAAAAGGAGAAAAGAAGAGAAGGAGAAGAAGAGAAGAAGAAGAAGAGAAGAGAAGAAGAAGAGAAGAAAAGGAAGAAGAAGAAGAAGGAGAAGGAAAGAGAGAAAGAAGAAGAGGAGAAGGAAGAAGAAGAAGAAAAGAAGAAGAAGAAAAGAAAAAGAGAAGAAGAAGAAGAAGAAGAAGAAGAAGAGAAGAGAAGAAGAAGAAGAAGAAGAAGAAGAAGAAGAAGAAGAAGAAGAAGAAGAGAAGAAAAGAAGGAAGGAGAAGAAAGAAGAGGAGAAGAAGGGAGGAGAAGGAAAAAAAGAGAGAAGAAGGAGGAAAGAAAGAGAGGGAGAGAGGAGAAGAAGAAGAAGGAGAAAGAAGGAGGAGAAGAAGAAGAAGAAGAAGGAAAGAAGAGAAGAAAAAAATAAGAGAAAGAGAGAAGAAGAAAGAAGAAAGAGAGAAGAGAAGAAGAAGAAGAAGAAGAAGAAGAAAAGTGAGCCAAGCTTCCAAATACTTCCCCTTTTCTAATCTTCATATGCTTAAAATATCTTTTAAAATGAATTTTAAAATTCATTTCTTTCAAAAATACCTCTTTGCCTTTCCATTCTTCCATCTTTGTTAATATGTCCTAAACACAAATTCCAAAATCAATCCTTGAACTGTTCAATTTATTCCAATTAAACCACTAAATTTTAAATTTTTATATTTTAGTCACTGACCCGATGTTTAGGGTATTACAATAAAATTCTTTCATACTAATATAAAATATGAATTGAAATGAAATGAAACGAAACATCATTCATACTAATTTGAAGTTAATATATACTAGTGATTGGGTGTGGTGGTCGGAGGATGTAGAAGTGCAATAGAGAAAGTGAATAGAAAACAGAATAAAAGGAGAAGGTCGGAAAAGGATTAAGATCATCATGGGTCAAAAGAGAGCTTATATATTTGTTTGCTTTATCTCATGTGTTTTGAATTTATAAACCAAAAAATAATCAAATCAATATTAATATAAAATAAGATATATACAAGAGATAATATTTAATATGATTTAGTACCATTTAACTTTGTTTATCTTCACAAATGAACATAATAATAATTCAGTAGAGATTATGAATGATATAAATACATAATATCACATATATCTTCAAATCCAATATTTATACTAAAACTTAGAATATCTCAAAATTACACTATTTAAATACTTAATCAACAAGAAAATTTGTCTAAAATAAATATTTACTTCTTAAATAAATTTAATTATCATATAATCTTCAACCATTAAAATTATAATATAATTTAACTTAATTATTAATTAGAATTTTATCAAAGTATTTACTTTTAATTAATTACAAGTCTCGTGAGGGAATGGAACATGATGCCATTTTGCTTAAGAAAACTTAAGAAAATATATAAATTGATCATTAAATTATATCAAAATTATTTCATGGTTAATAAAACTTAAGAAATTATAAAATAATCATTAAATTTATAAACTATCTGACAACTGTTGTTTTTAATGTAAAAATAAATTCCTTTTTCCCAATGATATATAAGAAATAAATACATAGTAAAGAGAAGTAAGAGTCGATCCATATGGACTTAGAAATTTTTTAATTTTCGATTTGAATTGCCTTGACCAGAAGATATGCAGTAGATAAAATTGGGGTTTTGATTAAATAAGAAAAATCAATTTAAAGTAAAAATAAAGAAAATAGAGAATGTAAAGTTGAAAATAAATATGATAAAAACAGCCTCAAGTCTCGACTCAATTTCCTTCTGATCATCGAATTAGAATTTTCCTTTGAGATTCATATCGTTTACTTTGTCTACAAGGGCCATCCTCGTGACTCTTCTTTGTATACCGAATACTCAAGGAAATCTTTGATTTCGGCTTTGGAAATTGATTTAATCAACATCAATTGTTGTAGATCAATAACCGTTTAAGTTCATAGAAGACCGACTCAGATTGTTGTTTCAATAACTACTAATTCTGATCTCAATTCCCTCTTAACAAGGCAATCTTGCTAAGTTTGTTCCAGGAAGTCGAATGTACTCTTAATAAGCGATCATTCCTCCCACACATTTAGTCGCAACAATATATTGACTAAAGTCAAATTTTAATTTTGAAAACTGTTTTGATTTTGAAAATAAGTACAAAGATTGAGAGATATTCCGAAGTTGTTCAAGTGCTTTTCAATTCTTACGTTGGAATTGAGTTATCGCTTTAACCATCGGCTTATGAGAAAATTAGCTAAGTAAAACTAGAAATAAGAAG